GTAAAGAAAACTACTGACATAGAAAAGTCCTGAGGCAACAGGAAGAGAGCTAAAAATCCGAAAAAATATGCACCTCGTTCCTAGATGTTGGGGCGTCATGATGAGGATTTTTTTGTATTTTACACACAGATATTGGTTTATGTACTAACAATAAACGCTTAAAATCATCAAAAACTCACATGTAACAATACCTGAAATTTGGGTCATGAGTATGAAGACGATATTTTGTGGTCTAAAAACTTCAATAACTTTTGCAATTCTGCTCCAAAGAACTCGATTTTTGGTTCATTCAAAAGCTGAACTATTCTCCTTCACACTTCATAATGTTAGTGAGGTGCTATCTAGTCATTTAAACAATCTACATATGTTCAAACAGTTCTGCATGAATATCTCTGTAGGATCTTTTTTAGACCAGCTACAGATGTGATGCCTGAATGAAAAATGTAGAGGAAAGACTCACCTTTTTAATGAACTAAAAATCGAGTGATTTGATTCAGAACTGCAAAAGTTATTGATGTTTGAGGATTCCAAAATCCTGTCCTCAAAATCAAGGGCCAAATTTCAGGCATTGTTACAGGTGGGTTTTTGATGATTTTCAGCCTTTATTGTTAGTACATTAACCAATATCTGTGTGTAAAATACAAAAAAATACTCATCATGACGCCCCAACATCTCGGAACAAGGTGCATATTTTTTCAGATTTTTAGCTCTCTTCCTGTTGCCTCAGGACTTTTCTATGTCAGTAGTTTTCTTTACCGCCCGGTAAAGATTACATTTTGTGTAGTGATTGTTTTTTTTGCTTTCAACGACCTCGCCGTTTATGGAGCCTTACCGGACTACACCCTAGACAAACTTGAATTGGAGTACGCAAAGCGAGATCCAAACTCAATCTTTATGCCGGACGTGGAGAGCATCATCAGCTTATGCGGCTCCAATTTGGAACATTTAAACCTCAAATTTACTTACTCAGTAGGATTCTCAGATGGTGTGATAGCTGCATTGAAACAAACCAAGAAGTTAAGAACATTGAAAATTGAAGGAACAAAGGTGGGAGGGATCCCAAACAATTCGAAATCCATCACTGCTGTCTTGAACAATGCTACATTGTTAGAATCTTTATCATTCAGACTGGCGACTCTCCGTTATCTCCACGTGGACGCTGGTGCTTTACCTAATCTGATGCATTCATTCCTACAATCTCCTCGCCTTCCATGATTTCTGCGCAATCAAAGGCAAGAAAATCAGACTCTTAGGATACACGCCGTCTTTTGACCCCGACAATTGTGCTGGAATTATCATAATACTTAAACAACGGACGGCTTCGCTTACAAAATCTTGAACAAAACTCATTTGACCCCCAGTATTAGAGTTTTGCTCCGAGTCAGAAACCTCCTTTAGTCGATTGACACTGAAAATTATACCCATCGGTACCTCATTTATCCACCCGACAATTATCTAACCGACCAATACCTTCCTCCTCCTTCCTCACATCTTCAAAAGCCCACTTCGACTCTCAAGCAATCAGTCTTGCCCCACGAACTACTCTCAAGATACACAACCGGTCACTGCTTGGTATACTACAGTACGATTCATGTATTGATGCCCGTCCTCAGACCAATGGTAGTTGTACAGTGATCTGTAATGTTTTCACGTATCATCAAGCCGGCCAGTTTCAAAATGAACCAACAGGTCGTTTACAAACTTCTGACCTCAGATAAGTCACACAAATATCACTTTTAGTATCATTTTCACTGGATCATATTCTGACGCTTCTTCCGTATTTGATTGACTCAGCATTGGTTATCCACAGTCGGTGGCTTGATTTTAGCCCGGTGTAGAACTCCTACGCAGTGTAGCGTAGGCTGAGCCGGAGAGGGTAAGAATCACCACTCGTGAGAGTGGATGAAACTACGGGTGCGGTGAAGCTGCCCTCGACCTTTTGTTGCAGTTCGAAAAGAACCAGAGCAATCTAACAACTTTCTATCTTCACGAATTTTTCCCGCAAAACCTTGTTTATCCCGTAGATGGATGCGCAAAGTCTGGCGGAGCCTGGCGGTGTACAGTACACGCCTATACAACGTCTATAGCCGGAGTTATGCAAATTTCGATTTTTGACTACTTTTGGATTTTGAGTCCGCAATGTACTGTTACAATTGGAGAGGGGGAAGATGGTTTTGTCGGCGGCGGGGATTTTCCAGAAAAATTTGTACTCGGACCCAAATTTAACAATTTATAATTGTTTCGAATAATTGACGAAGTCGAATTTCCAGAAGGGATTTTTCTAAAATTGACGGATTTGTTGAGAGGGATGGGATTCGAACCAGTGCTCAGGGTTGGCCCCGAGTTGTTTTAGCTTTCACAACCAGTGACAGTACTGACAAATAGAATAATAAAAAAATAAAATAAAATAAAATAAGACCAACGTCTTCTACAAGCTCAGCAACAACAAGACACTCCAATATCAATCACTCGAACACTCTGGACTCAGCAAGTTTCAAGAACACAATTGATCACACTCAAGACTCTCGATAGCCTTATTTAACTTCAATAAACTCTTCAAGACACTTTATCTGATCTTAATAACACATACAAGACACTCGAGATTTAAAAAAAAGGAACTCTTCAAGACTCTTTTAATATCAATCACTCGAACTCGATCACAATCTTAAAAATAAAACTAATCCACTCTTCCTCTACACATTCTCTTCACTCGCTCAAGAAGCCCCTTTTATACCTTCATTATACTGCAAAAAAACCTCGAACCAGCCAAGTCCTTCTTCCTCAACTTCACTCCGATCGCAACCGGATTCCCGTTTGATTTTCGTTTAGGTTCCTGTTCACTGGTATGTACTCTTTCTTTCTTTCTTGCTCATCCTTATATTACCCAACTCACGCTGATCACCTCACTCTTACTTTCCCCAATCTTTTATTTAGGTTCTTTCATTGCTTCCCTTATCCAACCAATCGTGCTGATACCCTCAACTTGTCTCCACCTCCACTTCAACCTTTCCCTCCGATCTTGATCACATCTTCAAATTCGAGGTAAGTCTTTCACTTCTCTTTTCCTATTTATCTTTAACTTTCTTTAATGAACTAACTCTTCTTTCTCCACCTTCCTCTCACCCTTCTCTTAATCTATACAACTTTTTTAGATTCGCTCCCAGCCCTCATCATCCCAAATTCATCAATAACGAATGTGTATTAGCTTCAGCTTTCCTCTTTCACTCGATCTTCATGACTCTTCTATACTCAATCTTGATTTCGATTTCTTTAACCTTCAACTGTAAGTCACTTTCTCTGCTGATTATCTTCCTTTTAATCTTGTACTGACTCTCCTTCATTTAATAGTTTAATTATTGACTTGATCTTCTTTCCTAGGTACCGATCGATCGATCCCCAGCTCTCGAGATTCGATTTCATATTAAATTTTGTTTTCGCCTCCTTCTTCTCACCCCCCCACTCCTTTTTCTTTTCTCTTTACCTCCACATGTATCCCATCTCGACTATGATTTAAAATTGTTAATTTATCTTCTTTGCTTCTTTTATTAACTTTATTTCTAAATTTGATCATCTAAAAAAAACTTCCTTTTTTTTATATATGTAATTTCCTTTGCCCGGATTCATTCAAGATGATTGTAATATAAAAAATTGGTCTTGAATTAAAGTAAAAAAAATCCTTATTTGATTGAATTCACAACTACACCTCGAGGCAGTTGTAGCGAGAAGAGCGTGTTCCGATGAGTAAAACAAAGAAATGATAACCATGAAAAGATTGAGTGGTTTAACACCAAAGCTCAGCTATAAAATGCTGAGCTGAAAGGTGATCTGATCACCACACCGGGCCCATTCGAAATGTCCAATAGGGGTATGAACTTTCAATCTTGGCGACCTTCAGAGATTGTGTTTTGTAGTGAACATCTACCAGGCTATCACCGGTGAGTAACAAAAGTATTAGAAGAGTATGAATCCTCTTTGCTAATTAAGATTTTCATACTGCATTAGTTAGGCAGTCATTGAACAACCCTCTTCAATATCTTATACCCGGCCATTTGGAAATTCCCAACACGGGTCCCGTGACGTGACCCATCCCCACTGTCACGTCTCAGCTTCACAATCTTCGAAGATGGTTTTTCGTAGTGAATATTAACCAGTAAGCAACATTTTTTTCAGCAGGGTATGAAGCCATCTTTGCTAACTAAGATATTCATATTGCTTATCCATCTTGATATCCAGGTTAGTGCTGGATTGTGACCATCACTGATGTCAGACTAGGCCACGAGTCCTTCAATAATTAGGGTCCCTGCAATTTCTACCTTTTTTGATGATACATGACTTCAAAGCATATCATCATTCATATTAAAGGAGAACCATCAATTCAAACAAAACTCGAAAAAACCTCCACTTTTCAGTGGGACATCTGTGAGTTTTTGCCTGCCGAAGTTTTGCCCTCGGGAAAATAACTTTCCATCCTCATATCACATCCATCTTCTGTGACGTAAGTGTTTTTTACAGGCTGCGACTGCCCAGTGATCAAGCTTATCCACAACCCAATCAAATCAGCGGTTCATAATCCATCCCCCCATCATACTGAATCAATCATTCATATCAAAGGAAAGCCATCAGTTCAAACAATACCAGACAACATTCACCATTAGTGCAACTTTCAAGTTTTTCACTTCGTCATAAACCATTTGGAACTTCAGTTGTGGTTCACTTCACTTCAACTTCGATCACCTGCTGGCTATCCGCCTCTTTCCACCAAAGAACTGATCAACCTTGAGGAGTTTTGAAAGACCTTCATAAATCAGAAAAACATTTATCAAGGATTTGTTTTAGCTAGAGTGAATTTACAAAACAAAGATCGACCACCAATTCATCCGGAATTTTCACCGGTAAGCTATATATTTGTAACAGTCAGACAGAAGTGTTTTTGTTAATGCCTGTGTTTCTACAGAAACCTTGAAACAAACAATCATGGAATACGCCAAACAATTTGGATCATGAGTCTGCTATTCTTATGATTGAGATCCAACATCTTGGTTCCGATTTGTGAAACAATCAATAATACAGCGGAATTCATCTCTGTTGCCTTTGTAGGTTTTCAATTCTCCTATTTTCTTGATTATCCAGATCATACTACATACTAATGATTCATTTGATTGCTATAGGTTCAACATAATTTTGTTGCTGAAAGACCAGATGAAGTTGATGCAAAGAGGGGTGAACCTATCATTGGTGTAAGGTCTCATCTCTTACTCGGATTTCTTCTTTGAGAACAAGTGCTGATCCCTTCCTCTTTGCACTTTTTAGATCTCTCGATCCAATCATCAATGGTCTGAGCTAAACCAATTGGTTGTCTTCGTGGTCTTGGGTTCATCTTTATCGATTTAACACCAACGAATCAAAAACCGTTGCCAAACGTTTTCTATTTTGATCAGTTTTAGCTGGTTTAATCCCAGTCTCATTTGAAGAAGTCTCAGATCTAACAAGTGGTGGCGCATTACTACCAGATCGAGTCAAAGAATCAATTAGAACCGCAGTAGTACCTAAAGTAGAAGAATGGAAATCGATTGCTAACCAGAAACCAAAGAAAGTTAAATGGTTTCTTTCTTCCTTTCTTTCTTGAATGAACGAACCTTTCAATGAATGATTTTATTCAAACCGGATCAATCAAAACTACAAATCAATCGATTCATCAAACATTTAAATCAACACAATCCATTCATCAAACAATTTGATCCACCAATTCAATCAAACCAAGCAGGTCCTTTAAACGGTTTAACAGTCTCAATCAAGGACATATTCTTGGTAAAAGATGAAACAAATACATGTGCTTCAAAATTCTTAAAAGGTAAGCTAAAAGAACTCATGATCTTCGATCGGTTTTCATAACTAATTAGACTACTTTTGATTTAGATCTAGATTTCAAACCTACTTACCATTCAACGGTCGTAAGCCTGTTGAAAAAATCAGGTATCAAAATCTTAGGAAAAACCAATATGCATGAATTTTCAATGGGGTAAGTGAATGGCTAAGATATTGTCCTTTCAAAAAAATCTTGATGATTTTTTCTCATTTTTTTGAATATATAGATCTTCAAGTTCATTCTCTCATTTCGGTCCAGTTCTTAATCCCAATGGAATATCAAGGAATCAAAAATTTTGAAGTCCAGGTGGTAGTTCAGGTCGATCTGTTGTCGCTGTTGCTTCAGGACTTTCTGATCTGTCCGTATGATTTTTTCATCTTGATTCACAATCCATAGTCAACAAACCCCGACCGGAATTGAGTCTAATTCAAGTGAAATAATATCTCTTTTTTGACAAAATAGTGCAATTGGTTCTGTTACAGGTGGTTTGACTAGATTACCTGCAGCTTATTGTGGTGTGTAGTAGGATTGAAACCATCTTATGGAGTGATATCTTGTTATGGAACGATACAATACTCTCATAGTCTTGATTGTGTTGGACTTTTCCCTAAATCAATTGATTTGATTGATAAATTGTTCAGTAAGCTCTTTGACAACTCGAAAGTCTCTATTGTTTTGAAAACATGGAGGTTAAAACTTATTCTTGAAATCGTTTCTTTCAGAATCTTTGGTAGGATTTGATAAACGTGATCCCACATCTGCCGATTTGAAATCAAATCCAGAAACAAAAACGACAATCGAAGATTTATCAAAACTTAGAATAGGAAATGCAATTGTAATCAAGATCATTCTAAAGTTTTTTTCTTTTGTCTTGAATTTTGAAAAAACCTAATTCAATCTTGATTTTTCATTCTTATAGGAATACTGTACAACTGATTTACAACCTGAACTTTTCCAAAGATTACAACAAGTAGCATCATCGTTGAAATCAAGAGGTGCTACCTTAGTTTCAGTTTCAGTGCCTTCCACCTCTTCTTCTCTGGGAGTAACATCAGCATATACAGGCAATGGTATCCCATCAGTACGATTTGATTTTGTACGTGATTCATCACCTTCTTCTACCTACATCACGTTTACCGAATCGACTGTTTAGTGATTATGGACAATCACAAAATATGTAATCAAGATCAGTGTCGGCTACTGATTCTATCTGAAAACAATCATTCGGGATCAATCAAAGTCAAACTAAACATAGTGGTAGAGTTTCACAACAAACAACTTATTTTTGGAGAACCATCAAATAGTGTAGCAGTTTGGCAACACCAACAACAACAACAACAACAATCTATGGGACATTGATCCAATCCATCTGGAGTTCAATATGATTTAGAAGATGAACAGAACATAATAAATCAAGAAGGAGATGGATATGCAACAGCAGATGAACTTAGGGAAAGTGGAGCCGATTACATGCATCAGTTGAATCATTTCAGCATGAACAAGGATGTTTTTGGTCTCATTTCAGAGCTCATTTTAGTCCATATTCATCAAGTGATATAAATTCAAATGAAACAACAGTTTTAGTACTTTATAGTTTGTATGAGGATTTTTATAAATTTCATTTGACATCAGTTCAAACATTTATGTACATCTTTTCATATCTCCTGCATAGATTCTTTGATTGACTGACTGTATCCATAATAGGGTTAGGAAGTATATCAATGATTTATTATGGATCAGTAGGTCTGGAACAGATCCAAATATACTCATACCTAGCATTTGATTGAATGACAATCCCCAATCACAACCAACAAAAAGCACAGAAACAATCAGAATCCACATCAACGTCTTACATCTAATCTACAGACAAGGTATGAGTTCATGACCATTTTCATTTGTGAAACCTGTAAACTTTCTGAGAATGTTTGTCTTTGAAGAAGAGGTGGTATTACTGTGATTGGTACATCTGCTGTTGTGGTAAGCTCTCTCTTATTAAGCTTGAAAAGAGAGAAAGAGTTTTGAGTCAGATGAATTTCTCTTTTCTTTTGTAGCATTTTTTTAGATGTATTAGGGAAGCGAGATTAGAATCTGATATTCATTTTCACCCAAAACTTTAATTGAAAGAAGAGAATCAATCCAATCACTTCTTGGTTTAAAAAAATGAAGTTAAGAATGAAAATGAAGAGAATGCAATTTTTATAAATCAATGGAATGATGAACTTTATGTGTGTTTGGAATTGGACTGTGTTGATGTTTGGTTAGAGAAATTGTCTCAATTGATATAGGATGGGATGCTAAAGATTTTGGAAGAAGTACTTGGGTCCATTCATCATTTATCAACTGGATCTTGTATTCATTATAAGGAGATATGGATCATATTGTTACTTTTTGTTTTGATTAGAATAAATTTATTGGTATGATTTCATATATATAGATTGAAAACCAAAGGCACAATAGAACATCCAATTGTAAGCTCAATCTCATTCCAAGCCCAAAGAGCTTTACCTTTGAACTTGAGAACTCCATTATTATAACCACAATAACATTGGTGGACTTGGAATTTACCAAGTACAATTCTATCCTCAACTTTGATTTCTTCTAAAATTTTATGTTCATTGTATGAGTAGAAGACATTTGAAAAGGAGGATAATTAATGACAACAAAACCGGATCTTTTTTAGAAATTGATAGGTTTGGTAAGGTTTCTATACCAGGTTGGAATTGTCCAATCACAATGAGTAGACCAGCTCAGGTAGATCAAGGCAATTATTGAGATCAGCAATCAAATCTAGCTTCTCATTAAATTCATCAAAAAAACTCCACCTTACAGCTTTTCTTTGTCAATCATCCACAAGCCAAAACCACAAGATGTAGCACACAATCAAAGACAAGATCTTGGATACATCACGTTTCAAATCTTCAATCACCCTCAAGTCAAATCCCTTTGATCTTGAAAGATAAAAACCATCAGAAGGTGTGCTATAATCAATCATCTCATCTACCTTTTTTCAGCTCTGGAGTAAGTCAAAAACATAAAATTTTATTAAATAAATAAAATGAGAAGATGTCAAAGCAACTTTAATCATTCAACATCAAGCTTCAAGTAACATAAGATTGCTCAAAGATTGTACGTCAAAATATGGAGATATAACTCCGTGACCCCCTACACAATTGGTGATTTCTAACATCAGATTGATCAAGAAAATGAGTGTTGAGATGAAGGATTTAAATTTTTATCATTAGATGAGATAACAAACAGATGCAAAGAAGGGAATACAATGAGCACCTGAGGTAGGTAAGACAGATATTGAATGGGTAAGTGTATTACAAAGGCTTGGTGCTGTAAGAATTCGAGATTCTGCGGAGACACTAAGCTCTACGAAATGAGAAGCAACCTTTATAAAGGTGCAAAGACAGGTTTAGCTTTGTGTTGACGAGACACAAGCTAACAACAAGAACAAGAGTTCTAAACTCTTTAGACGAACCTGAAGAGGGCACGAGGAGGATTAAAAGTAAATAAAACTTCAAAATCTATTTCCTCGATGGTATATCACACACACATAAGAAAAACTACTAACCTTTATAAAGGTGCAAAGACAGGTTTAGCTTTGTGTTGACGAGACACAAGCTAACAACAAGAACAAGAGTTCTAAACTCTTTAGACGAACCTGATGAGGGCGCGAGGAGGATTAAAAGTAAATAAAACTAAGGCCGTATAAAGAGAGAAAGATTAGAAGAGAAAAAGAGTATATAGAAAAGAAAGATCTAAGTTTAGTAATGATTATTTAGATAAGAGAAAATGAAATTTTTGTAATACGACTCTCACCTTCAAAATCTATTTCCTCGATGGGGAAAAAGATTTGAAAGGGAGAGAGGAGGGGTTGATAAGAGAAAAACAGTCAAGAACAAAATTTGAACAAAGATAACATGAAACAACAAATAAAGCATCTTTTAAACAGAACACTTTTAATCTAACCGAAAGCGGACATTCTTCCTTGATCCTCCTCCTGATTTTAAACAATGATGAGTCTTCACACCCTCCGCACGTTTCCTTCTCACGGGATTTGTCTAAGTCAACTACAGCCTTAATAGACTTGAAACAGTTCAAGAGAATGATATTCTCCAACAGGTGCATCATCTGTGAGGACTTCACTTTATTGATTGGCAAAGCTTATCAACCACACCTACATTTTTATAATACTTACTGTTTGTGTGTTGTCATAGACAACTATGTTTGTGTGTGTATCACCTCTTCCCTACTCATATAAAAAATGGTGGCTCTTTGTTGCTTAACCGTTGCGGCATCCGTGAGAAAAATTAGAAAGGGAAGGTGGGAGTGACAAACAAATACTGTAATGAAAACAATCAAGTGACGGGAGTGCGGCGCCCGCCGCTAATTTGGCTAGTTCATATTAAAGGCAAACATGCAATTCAAACAAAACCTGACAAAATATGCCATTAGCCCCATTTTTGGGTTTTGCACATGTGTCAAAAACCATTTCGTGGCAATCAACATATTAATTTGTCCTCCATTTGCAAATCCGACTATCTACTGCCGCTATAAGCTCCCCCATGGTCCAACTCCCTTCATCTCCTTCTTTAAATCCAAGTATAGCTGACCCTCTTGATACACCCAATCTTGCTCATACACACCTGAGTTGTCAGATCCATCTCCTTGTCCGTGGATTTCATGCAGATCCCAGCTTGCAATATGGAATGTCACCCGTAACCCCCCGTAAGGAAAATCGGTGTGCCGTATTTCAGGCACTCAAGCTTTCATCTATACTAATGAGAGATTCTTTTAGCACATTTCCCCCGATCAAAATCCACCAAATGATCATAAACAAAGAAGGACTTCAATCAATACACATTCAAATCTTTAATTGCGCTCAATTTGTACATCTTGAACAAAATTCATTGCACAAGCTCAAACACAAATTGATAGATGGGCTCAGACAATCAATTGAACTTACACTTTGCATTCAACTCATTGTCAAAGTCATGAATGTAGAATATTTCAGCCTTTATTACAACATACTTCAGATTGCGTAATGGTTTGCCGGATTGATTATGCAAAACAGTTCATGATATCATTCAAAAACTTGTCACATATGGAAGGTTAGTATTTGGATTGAAATCATCAATAATCTTTCTACTCATCATATTCACCGCAAACTTGACAATTTGAACTCTAAGATACACATCAAATCCAAAGCTCAGCCTCAGCACACATCTGATTGTATAATTTCTTTTGTTTGTTTTTAGACTTCAAATCTCTCGATCCCGTTTTTCATCAAATATCAGAAAACACTCAAACATGTCTGATACTTGATTGATAAAAGAAACCTTGAAATTCTTAGGCAGTTTGGAAGACAATCCCTCATCCAAAAATCAAACAGAAATGGTCAATTTAGCGGATAGAACAAAAATTTTCAGTTCAACTCAACAACATCATTTCATGCTTATTTCAAACTGATGCATCTTGTGATACACAATTTCTTTGATCATACAAAATATAGCCATGGGGTTTTGCTACTTTCCTTTCCTTGTACTTTTCAGTTTTAAGTTATGGCTATCTTCACAAGTGGAACTACGGCGACACTCAATATGAACATGAATCGATGCAACTGCTTATTGCAATTAGACATAGGTCCTATAATGGTAAGCAATTTGGATTCTTGCAATTGAATGTGCTCAGATCTCAAACTCATATATTCTTTGGTTCACTATGTATGGGAGCAAACGTTTGATTGAATCATGGTGATGGTTGATCCCACAATGTTCATTCGTTCCGTCACTATGCATTTCAAATTCCTGCAGGTGTATCCAGATGTCCAGAGCACGATTTGATCACAGTCGAGTTCACAAAGCTTGGAAACGATTCCATGCCAATCTGCTTGAGTTTTGTGGGCGAAGAGTTCCAAGCTTTCTGAAGTCGACTGTATATTGCCCGGGGGTGCAAACGCTTCACTCGCCAATCAAATCTTGGAAAATCAACCATCAAATCACGATTGTGATTTGCTTGGAGGCCCAAAATCTTTTACCCCGACGCACAGCTTTCACCAATCACATCACCCATTTACCTCACTTCGGTGGAACTGCTATCTCAACCCGTGATCATTCAAGTTAAAGGCAAACAACGAAATTGAACAAA